GAGAGCTTCAGACGGAATACACAATTACAAATTTCTTTAAGTCCAAGTTCATTGTGCTTTTACACATCTGGATAATTAACCAAGCATTACATTCTCTCTAGACTATTTTTACAAGTACAATATGCTCCTAACGTGATTTCCATTAGGCTGTTCCAAACATCATTTAAGAACTCAGAAAGATCGCAGACGGAGATTCGAAACCACTGTTCAGCTGTGATGTGGAGACCTTTTTCTCTTGTGGGGGAAATAAAAGACCGAGAGCTGAATTCTGAGATCCGTGTGATGTAAGAGGAAAAATGGAGGTTTATTGCTTCTGTAAGCCCTAGCAAATGCAGGCATATACAAACACACCCTAATATCTCTGGGCCTTCTCGTCAGAGGTGAGCTCAAAATATGGTCACTGTGGGGAAAACAAGCCATGCAACAACAGGGCTGGAAATTGCAGCTGGAAGCTCCTTAAATACTAGAAAGAAGTAACAAGGGCAGAAGAAAATCCTGACGTGTCGGTCACTAACCTAGTTTGAATTACTGTGTTAGAAAAATACGTTTGTCTGGCTGAGTTCCTCATTTGAGGGTCACTGCTGAATTCTAAAATAATACATGTTCAGATCGTTTCTGGCCACAGTTTTCCCCTTTCCTTTTATAAGCGCTTTGATGCTGTTCCGAGCTTTTATGAGGCCAGGGTCTGATCCGATGGTAGAAGGTTAGTGCTAATTCATAGACTTCAGGAGTTTTCGTTGGCCAGCTGCTGCCCACATTGATGAGCACCAGCGAGAGATCAGAGAGACCACAGGGCTGAGAGTTGTGGTGGCTGCTACTCTTGTCGTTGTTATAGACAGAACTCAGAACAAAAGAAGCAAGAGTTCATAAAATTACAGGATTACAATTGTAAGTCCTCAGGGGTCGTATTGTTCATTTCTGATCCATCAGCCAGCCACACCTCAGTTCTCCCCCAAGAACAGAGGTTTCGATTCTATTTAAAATATCTCCAGAAAAGAGAAAACTGGGCAAATAGAACACTTGATTTATTGTCTGGTTGTCTTTTAAAGAGCTCATGGTGGTCAGAGAATCATTAAATTGAGAAATAAATGATCCAGGAAGAATAAACTAGTCTGATCTTGAAAAAAAAAAAAAAAAAGTCTCAACAAGGAGAGCAAAAATAATTGAAATTTCATTATCATGTTTCAGTGTCTGTTTTCCATAAAATAATCCTATAATTGTCTACTGTGTGACAGGCTGAGCCACTCAACCAACGGAATGATTAATGGAAACAGCAGTGAAGGATTTGTCACACTGACACAGGGCGAGGAAGTGTGTGATAGTCATTAGAAAGCAAAAATGAGATAAACATCATCAGGTTAGCAGATGTGGACTGAGCATTGAGGAATCTGTTTTGGACACGGTTATAGAACTACCCATCTCACCGTCTGGTTTTCTTTAAATGGTCAGCTTAGTAAGCATGGTAGCGGATGGACCCAGGGCTGAGCCCCAGCTTGGGACACCACAGACTCATAGCCTCCAAGACCGTTGACTCAAGTGTGGTGTGGTATGAGAAATGGAAGATGGGGAGGCAGCCGAGTCTCGATGGATTCCAGCCAGGCACGTGATTGGAATGCACAGACCCTTGTTTTCATCATTTTAAAATATGGGAAGATAATGTTAACCTGAAATTAGTTCAGCTTAAAGGGGGAGGTAGCCTGTTCGTAGTCGATGCTCAGAAATTGAGTAGGTGTTCCATCTTAATTTCCTGCCTGGATCTCTCCCAGATAAGCATGGTGGCCACAAGGGGGAGGGTGCCATAAAAATGTGGCTGTTTTAGCCTGAATTCGTCATCACCATCGTTAGAGCCATTTAAAATACATGCCCTTCCATCTCAGTAAGAGTTAAAGAGATGTTTTATTGCCGGGTCTTATAACCAGGCAACTTGAGCGATAACATCCAGTAGAGAAAAAAACGTTTAGCAGTAATGTCAGATTAGTCATTCCTTTATCAGATATGTTTTTATGTTCCTACTGTGTGCTGGGCAAGGTACACAATGTGAGAATAATAATCCACAAAATGATAAACTTCACCCTATCACATAGCAATCAAGTTTTCATAATATTTTTTCAGAAGAAATTATTAGTTTTCCAAGCACAAGTTCTGTTCTTTATTGATTTTTGTGTCTTCTCAAATATCTACCGCAATGCTTTTGCCAGAAGAGTTGTCCAATAAACCATCACCAAATGAAAACTATGTAATATATCTTTAGCAGTAAAATGATTACTCAAGGAAATTTGTGTTTTGAGGTTCATCTTAGCAAAATTATATTTGATAAATGTTCTCTTAATGTTCCTAATGAGAGAGTACAGCACTGTTTATGCAACAAACCATGTTTCAGGCATATAAACAAACACATTTTTATATCCCTTCACTGAAGCTAAAATGTGCTCATGGTTGTGGATGGATACACTGTTTTGAGTCAATACTTTGCCTAAATAATTACTGTTGCACAAGAGGGCTGCATCAATGGGGAGATCTCAGAGATCTTGTATAAATTATGCAAATTACATTACTTTATGTTACCTTGGAAGGAGTGTAGGTTTGGGAGTGGGTCAGAGCTGGTTAGATTTTGACTCTGCCATTTCTCTGAGCCTCAGTGGCTTTGTATTGATATTGGAGTAATGATATGTGCAGCGTATGATTAGGGTATGGAGTAAATGAGGGCTCATGGGCCTCCCAGCCTTTGAACTACAGACCCCTGCAGAGTCTCGGAAATATTACAAAGGGTCTGCGGACTCATACGTACCCACTCCATGCCTTTAGTCTACTTTGAACATATATGCATTAGTGTTTTTCAAATGCATGTAGGCTCATTCAAGACTCATTCATTCAACAGCTGTGTATTGATTGCTAACAAACAGCATCAGGCACAGTGGTTATACTAACCTAAAAACAGATAGCTCTGTGTTCATGGATATTCTACTCTAGTGTGGGTGGGAGACTAACAATACCCAAGAAAAATAAGTAAAAGTCTGTAGGAACATGGTAAGGATTTGATGAAAAAAGAGAGAAAGGAAATATAAAATGTTAAAAAAAAAAAAGGAGGGGTGTTAAAATTTTAGATGGGATGGCCAAGGAAAGCATCCCTAGGTGTCACTGAAGGAAGTAAGGGAGTTAAGTATATGGCCATCTGGGAGAAGAGCATTCCAGGGGTGGGAGCAGCGAATGCAAAGGCCCTGATGGAAGGAAGAGTACAGCATGACTGTGGTCCAAGACGGGCTGGAGAGGAATGAGCAAGAGGGTAGCAGGGAATAGGGTTAACGAAGTACGATATCATACCAACCCTTATGCCTCCGAAAAAGCACTCTGCTTTTACTCTGAGGGAGATGGGGAGTTCTCAGAGGGTTTGAGCATAGCAGTGGCAAGACCAGATTCACATTTTAGTAGACCACTATCTTGAAAATAGACTGGATAAGGGGAAGGACAAAAGCAAGGGGGGGGCGGATAGGCTACTGCAATAATCCAGGCAAGAGATGACAGAACCTGGAGCAAGGCGATGAAGAGGGTGCTGTGCGAAGACCCTGGATCCTGGACCTATCTTGACAGAATAGGTAGAGTTGACAAGGTTCACTGATGGACTTTTGTGGGGTGTGAGAGAAAGAGATAAGGAATGGCACTGGGGCACCTGGCTGGCTCAGTTGGTTAAGTGTCTGACTCTTGATCTCAGCTTGGGTCTCCATCTCAGCGTCGTGCTGGGTGTGGAGCCTACTTAAAAAGGAAAGGAAAGAGGGGAGCCTGGGTGGCTCAGTGGGTTAAGCTGCTGCCTTCGGCTCAGGTCATGATCTCAGGGTCCTGGGATCGAGTCCCGCATTGGGCTCTCTGCTCAGCAGGGAGCCTGCTTCCCTCTCTCTCTCTCTCTGCCTGCCTCTCTGTCTACTTGTGATCTCTCTCTGTCAAATAAATAAATAAAATGTTTTTTTAAAAAAAGGAAAGGAAAGAAAAGAAAAAGAAATGGCACCATGATGTTCTAGTTAAAACAGGTAACATTAATAGAGAGGTTGAAAGGAAGGCTTGGGGATTCAAGCTTCATTCTGAACATATGAAGTTTAACATTAGACATGCAAGGGGAGATGTCAAAAAGACGGCTTTTTAATGTAAACAATACAAGACTAATTTTCTTAAAGATTGTATGTATGTATGTATGTATGTATGTATGTATGTATGTATTTGAGAAAGAGAGTGCAGGGAGAGGGGAGTGGAGAGGCAGAGGGAAAGGGAGAGAAAGTCTCAAGCAGACTCCATGCTGCGTGCAGAGCCCATGTGGGACTTGATCCCTTGACCCTGAGATCTCGAACTGAGCCAAAACCAAGAGTCAGATGCTCAACAGACTGTGCTACCCAGGCACCCCAATACAAAGCTATTTTTAAAATATTTCTGAATAGTAGCTTTCCTCAGCATAGTCTAAAAGTAGAATTATAATGTTTGTGTCTGCAAAATATTTTGAAACTGAAAAAGAACCCTGTACTTGAAAAGGTTGGAGACAGAGATAATTGTCAAGTGACAATTTCAGTAGCCAATAAATGTTACTTTCCTTCTCCTCTTGCTTTTTTAATACATGTAGATTTCAAACTGCATCATCATACAGATTTTGAAAACTTCATTTTTGCCTCGAGACTTTTTCCTTTTCAAATAAAGTTTTTAACGGAGCCTTCTGGTAAGACAAGGCCCCATGGGTGGCAGATTTGTGAAGGAAATTAGACTGTTCACCTGTTTCATGTCCACCTATCATTTTTCTGTGCACCTCCCCGGTGATTTGCATGTCACTGGCGCTGTCTGGGGATGCCAGAGGAAGTGAGAGACAGAGCTCTGTGCTATTGTGGGATTTACAGCATAAGGTAAAATATATGGTGGATCTCATGTGGAAATACTGCTGTTTTATTGTTACTTTAATTAGCTTAAATACATAATGGTTATGGCCCCAATTTGTGATGGTTCATTTCCACATCTACCCTTCTCAGTCATACGCAGGGAAGTACGTGCCAGCCCTTGCATACTATATCCACGTGCTCAACCCCGTGATGAAGATGAAGATCAACCTGAAAGGAATTGCTCTCGGAGATGCATATTCTGATCCTGAATCAGTAGGTGTCTGTCTCCTTTGTCCTTTCCATTCTGTCCTTTAAGGAGATTAAATCCCCTTTGATCCAATGGAGGCTCCTCTGACCTTAGGGACCTGAGTTGATGGAGGGAAATAATGTTGCCCGGTTGACTCGCTAATGATTTAAAATCTTCTCATTTTTACCAGATGTTTTAAGGGGTCAACTTATTCCGTCAGCCTCAGTTGGATGTGAGCGTGAACGTGGGGCACGCGTGCGTGTGCGTGTCATGTTTGTGTGTGTATTTTGTGCATGTGTGTGGTGTGTGTGTGTTTGGGGTATGTGTGTGCATTGTGTGTAACGTGTGCATTGTGTGTTTGTTTGTGTGCAGGAGACTGACAAATGACAGAGGGTTACTTCACCAAGCAAGTGGGCTCCCCTAACTTCTCTCTTTCTCTCCCTATGGCATCTGCATTTCTCTTTTCTCCTCAGATCATAGGGGGCTATGCCACATTCCTGTACCACATTGGCTTGTTGGATGAGAAGCAGAGAAAGTACTTCCAGAAGCAGTGCGATGAGTGCGTGAAATACATCAAGGAGAAGAGATGGCTTCAAGCCTTTGAAGTGAGTTCTGGGGACTGCGTGGCCCTGGAGCAATAAGAACCATGTGAGCTGGGTCCTAGAAGTGTCATGGTACTCGGGCAGGTTGTTGTCGTTGTCGTTGTCGTTGTTGTTGTTGTTAGAGAAGGTACAGCTGGCCCGCTGTCCGCAATCAGGAGGTGGGTGAGTGTGGGCTCAAAGTGAAGGAAAGAGCCGTTGGGCCTCTTTGAATTTACTTTGACTGTCTTCTAAACCTGCGATCACCTTGGAGTGTTTATCTAGCCGTGTCTCTCATTAACTGTTTTGATTTCTTTAAATGCTGCGTAGGCCCTAAAGGCATGCCCTATCACAAGGAAATCAGAAGAAAGGCAACCCAGAAAGTAGATACATATGCTTCAGCATCTGCTCGAAACCCTTCAGAAGGGTGATATCCGCACACGGCATTCCACCTGGAGACACAACCTCAGTGTGTAACAAATGTCACGTGTTCCTGTGTGTCGGGAACAAAGCTGAGAAAGTGTAGTCATCTGAAACTTTTATAAAGAGCCATTGGTATTTGTAACTATTGTCACAATGCTCCCCTAAAATTGAATTTGAGAATCCAATAATATGGTTCTATTCCTTGCCCTTTTTATTGGGATGGAGGGAATTATTTAAAATCTGAGACTATACTAAACATTAGCGTACAGGAGATCGAGGTTTTGGTTTGGTTTGGCTTTGCCCGTGCGGGCAATGATTGTATACCAATGATCTCTTTTAGGTTTTGTTTGTTTGTCTGTTTGCCACCTTTAATCGTAGAGCCATCGTGTTTCATTCATCAGTAAATGAGACGAGGAGTGCATTTGGAGGACTTCAGTCTTCCTGTTCTTGGGAGCCCATCCTGTACCTGTACCAGTTTTCCTAACGGCATTGTTGTTATAAAGCCTGAGGCCTGATAGGAATAGTCTTCTAGGCACTGCAGGTCTGCTGGTTCAGATCAAAACAGGAGACCATACAAACTCAGGGAGAAAGGCGTAACAAGGTTACCCTCCATTTCACAAGCAGGATGCCTCGCCCTGCCTGAAACCTCTGAAGCAGTGAATGCCCTTACCATCAGTTCTCCCAGCAGCAAGATGTGCAGCTGAAACCACCCGTCCCTCCAGATGCCAACAGCCTCTCCTTTCTCTGCACCAGGACACCTGGTGTGGCTGGGAGTGTGGATTCAGTATTTCCGCGCAATTGTAAATGCAAAGGAAGAGTGATTTCACGGGGACATGTAGGATCCCTCTTTGATGTGCAATGACACTATTTTTGAGTCTGGTTTTAGGCTTTCTGTTGTAGTAGGCAGCAAGGGTAAAAGGATTGAACCTCTAAAATTTAAAATGAATATCAAATGTTACATCATGGGAGACCAGTTGGCAAGTGAGAGATTTGATGTGTCTTTGAAGAAGCATACGGGGATGAAGTGATGTCAAGAGGAAGAACATCCAATGGGCCCTAAGGGGTAAGGAAACCAGAAGGATGTCCTTGCATCCTTGCATGGCGCAGCAGCCCGAGCCCACACCGAATTAACAAAATGGGGGACAAGTTCAGGTTATTTGGTGTTTTCAGAGGTAATGAGAAGATGGCCCATGAGGTCAGAGCTCTCCTAAACTAGATTCATCAGAAAACAAAGCAAAAGACACCAAAACCCAAAACAAAAGGACAAAAACAACAACAACAAACCTAGGAAGGTATGCAGTGTCTCTGTGACCATTGATCCAATACCTTAAGTGAAGAATTCACTTAATACTCTTTGTTTTATTTTAAGGGAAATAGATAAGCCGATACTTGGGAAAGTAAGTCAGCAGTGGTCAAATGGGTTTCAGCGTAGGCAGTAGAAGGCTCAGAGAAATCCTGAGACCCACGAGAGTACTGTCAAAATCACAAGCCTAAATGATAAAACCTATTGGATGCCCTGATCCCTTAACATGATGTAGTTAGTCAAAAAGCAGGAACTTGGAGCCGGAGGGAATTTCGGAGACCATCTTCTGCCCGTACACACATGCACGCATCCACATTTCACTGATGAGGGGGCTGAGGCCTGGAGGGACTGCATTCAGTGTCCAAAAGCCCCATAATAGACTGTGGCAGTCCTAGGATTGGAATCATCCCCCCCCTTCCCCGATTCCTGCCCTGGTATTTTCCTGTGGTAACTCCCACGCAGTCCGTAAAGATCCTGGGATATTTAGACATTCTGCAAGATGCACAATGGCCCATCTCTGGCCGCATATTGTCCCCCTTACCATGACAATACTCTAGATCACAGAGTTCTTTCCGTGAAACCAGTTTTGACCAGAAACTGGATTTCACAGGTCTTGACCACCCTCGTCACTTGTTTGACAACAAATGATGTTTGACTCTTTCTGAAATCAGATCCATTCTTAAGGGTGGAATTTATATTCCCATTGGTGTTGAAGATAATTTCTAAGCATAAACAAAATGCTGCTTGTATTCAGAACTACTGCTAGCCTGTGGTGTCGCCTCTGGGTGGACAAGTTAGAAAAAGACACCTCCGCTGAGCAGACATAGTCCTGTGGATTCAGAGCTTGGCAAGTGGAGGCCACCATTGTACGAGAATAGAGATGGCTTTTTCTCCAAATGCAGCCCAAGTCTGGTTATCCAGCTTGGCAAGCAGAACTTTGATGGCTCTCTGCCCCTCCGCCAGGCACCCGCACGTAGTGCACAGGGCACAGCCAGAGGCAGTGGTCCTGCAGGACCGTAGAGTTGCTAGAGCATACTTATTACTCCCTCCCCTTTCCACAATGACAATCCTTTTCATTCTTGGTCCCTAGCCCTGTGGCAATGGTCACTTGGATAAATTAAGTTGCTTCCTGTTTGGTAAAGAAAACTAATCTAATAAAATAATGGAATTTTATATTAATCCCAAAAGCATGGCCAGACAGAATTGAAGACTAAGAGAGCAGCAGTCCACCCCTTGGAGAGCTAGTGTGTGTGTGGCAGGATGTGGAGCATGTAGGCTGGAGAGCATGGCCTGGGCTTGAATCTCTCCTCTGACATTATCGAGGCATCTTTGGTGACTTAACCTCCATGTGCCTCAGTTTTCTCACCTGTAAAACTAGGATACTATCGTCCTGAATTCTTACCACGTAAGAAAACCTAAAATCGTACCTGATAGTTGGTTTTGAAAATGCACCAAATTCATCCTTTTTACAGGAGCCCCTTATGGACTCAATACCCTCATCCAAAAGCATCCCAGTGTTCTCAGTCTCTTTTCTAAGTATTCCCTTCATCTTCATGCTCTACCCAAAACCTGCTTTTCCCCCACTGCTGTCCCTTCCCCTCTCAAGCAGGGACTGTGTTCTGTCTTACCTACTTTGTACCACTTGGCTCCTGGGTAGAGTGGGTGTCCTCCATGCTCCTCATTGCTACCCTCAGATCATGTTCTGTCCTTCCAGAAGCACTGAGCTCTGACTGCCTCATCCTCACATGATCTCACCCACCACTCTTTGTAGTTACCTACCAGCCTCCAACTTTCTCCTTCTCATCCCCTGAGAATGCCTCACTGTCACTCTCTCTCAAGGGCATCATGCTTGTCATTATTTCTAATGATCGCAGTGTCTGCATGAAGGATCATTTCAATACGCGGCCCCTCAGTTCCTAAGTCTCCTGTCTTTCGACAATCTTCTTCTTCTCTTATCTTAGCTGCTCAGTCCCAAAACAAAACAAAAAATCTGACAATCACTCTACAACCTCAGATTCTCATCGCACTGTCACACTTCTCTGAATATACCAATTCAAAGAACAGTTCTGCAACCCCATTGTCTTCCAGTCCATTGATCCTACGACCGAGTCATGATCCTTAACCCCTTCAAGTCTTAGTTGCTTTAAACACCCAGCTGAAACTCAAAGTCAGCCCAGCTCCTTTGGCCAAACCACCATCCACGCTAAAAGCACTTGTTTACACTCCGTGTCTATCTCTGTGCTACTACACATGACCAGAGAAGGGCACACAATCATGCTGACTGCCCTCACCTCCGCTGTTGACCAGTTTTTAAAGTAAGAAGTCCCAAGGGAACTTCCACTAGCTCCAAGCACCTGGGTGAATGGTCAATGATCCATATTATGGCAATCCTTCCCTACAAGGCTCATTCCCATGGTCGGGACCTTTGAGCTCACTGTCTCCTCTGCCTGGAATGTTCTTTCCCTCGATGTCTGCGTGGCTCACTTCCTTCCTTCCAACAGGTGTTTATTCAAATGCCACCTGTGTTTCCCCCTCTCTGCAGTGCACCTTGCACTCACGCATACACATGTGCCCACACATGCCATGACACTTCCTACTCTCCTTCTCCTATTTAGTTTTCTCCTTAACACTTATCACTCTTACCATACTGCATGTTTTTCCTGTGAATGCTTGCTTCTTGTCCCCCTCAAGGATATTAGGTCCAGGGGGAGGACTTGTGCTTTCTTGTTCACACTGCTGTGTCCCCAATGCCCGGGGTAGTGTTTAGCCCAGAGAAGATGTGCAATAAATGGTTGTTGAATGAAACGATGCTGGAACAAGGAAACTGATAAATCAATGCAATGACAAGTGCCCATGTGTTTTTACCTACCCTGATATTTTCCTTCTCTCTCTCCTGACCTAGGTACTGGATAAACTACTAGATGGTGACTTAACAAGCAACCCTTCTTACTTCCAGAATATCACAGGATGTCCTAGTTACTATAACATATTACAGTGCAAGGTAATGACAACATTTTTTTTAAAGATTTTATTTATTTATTTATTTGACATAGAGAGAGAGAGAGAGATCACAAGTAGGCAGAGAGGCAGGCAGAGAGGAGGAAGCAGGCTCCCTGCTGAGCAGAGAGCCCGATGCGGGCCTCGATCCCAGGACTCTGAGATCATGACCTGAGCTGAAGGCAGAGGCTTAACCCACTGAGCCACCCAGGCGCCCGACAACATTTTTGAAACTGTGATAGTGTTGGCTTAAAAATTTTGGCAAAACCAAACTTCTTCCAAGTTGAGAAATATTCTAGGTGACTTTATACTGGATAAATATGTCCTAACTGTATGACATTATTTGATCTACTAATCTATAGGATCCCCCCGCCCCACTGACGTTGTATATGTTATAATCTGACCATCAAGAATGATATTCCAGATAACTCAAAACAATCTCTGATTAACACAATCCCCCTCACCCCCCAGTAGAGCTTGTTATATAGAAATTCTTTTGTCAAAGATAGAGGCCAGGATTGTTCTCCGGGTATTAGGTTCCAGAATGCCAAGCCTGTAGTGAGTTTCTTGAAAATGTCCACATTATTTGCTCTGTACTTAAGACGGCTTGGATAATCAAAACTGCCAAAGCCTTTAGGAAAATATTTGTTTTGTCTTACTTTTAACTTAAGATGGTTTCTGCACTTAGTATGGCCCTCACTTTAAGCTCTTTGGAATATTTCTCAAAATATTCAAGTAGTTTTCTTCCATAAAAGTAGGCCAAAATCAATGTCTTCTGTGCAGGATTAATCAAATAAAACAAAAGAAGCCAAAGTGGGTATTTGGATTTGTATCATCTTTATCTAGTGTATATGAGAATACATCTTGTTTTAAAAATTGCCTTATTTATGAACTATTTTGTAAATAAAATATAAAGCTGGTTTCAATAGAATCTGCCAAACCTGTGGTTTTGGATTTAGATTCTACCAAGAGAAAAACAGATGGTAGGCAAGAGAGAAACAGGATTTGTAATCACATTTCTTTTTCCTTTACAAAGTATTGTATTTGAAAGATTAGGAAAAAAGGAGGATGCACAAAATTATTGATCTCAAATTTTTTTATCCCTTTGTAATTTTTTAAAACAGCATTTATACCTTTTTTCTTTTAGCATGATGAGTATCACAGACTTTTCACTATCACAGACTTTATGCAGTATTTTTTTTTTTTTAATAAAGCTCATGGACAACTTTTCTTTTGTTTCATGTCCTTCATAAAGTCATCTGTTTTTACACTTGGTATATTTCCCTCCTTCAATTATGGTGAGCTGATTATTTTGTACGTGTGGTTTTAATAAGCAGCAGAACATGGAAGAGAAAGCCTTGGCTTTTAATCCACCAGACCACTGCTCTGGCTTTTGTGGTCCGTTTGACTTTCGTCCCATAGAGCCTCCGACAAGGAGCAAATTGTTTTTGATAATCTCACCCCTTCCGTTTTTCCTGTCTTTGCCTCAAAATTTTTTTTTTTTTTTTTAGGATTTTATTTATTTTATTTGACAGAAAGAGTGAGAGAGCACAAGCAGGGGAAACAGCAGAGGGAGAGGGATAAGCAGGCTTCCCGCTGAGCAGAGAGCCTGACATGAGGCTCAATCCCAGGACCCTGGGATCATGACCTGAGTTAAAGGCAGATACTTAACCGACTGAGCCACCCAGACGCCCCTCATATGGGGTTGTTGATTGGAGTCATAGATTCTAGAAGATGAGTTACCGAGAAAGAAAAATCGAGCATTTAAGTGCAAATGGAGCATTGGCTCTGAAAGTATCAGATCATCCAGTTTTATTATCAATAAAATTTAAATTACCTCAGAACCCCCAAATTAAAAATCTCAAGGCGGAGACCAGTTAATAGTCATGTCTCGTCTTGTTCATTATGGTTTGTATTAGCAGAAATTTGTAACTTTCTCCACAGGCTGTTCCTGCCACCCAGTCACGTTTCCTAATGTTTTTCTGATGTCCCCTTCTGCCAGGAACCTGAGGACCAAAATTACTATGGGAAATTTTTGTCCCTCCCGGAAGTGAGGCAAGCCATCCATGTGGGAAACCGGACTTTTAGTGACGGATCCGAAGTTGAAAAGTACATGCGAGAAGATACAGTAAAGTCCGTTAAGCTCTGGTTAGCTGAACTCATGAACAATTACAAGGTAAGAGAGTTACTCTAGTTACTATCTATTTCAGGAACTTTGTAGATTACCCAGAGTGGAGGTGACGTTCTCTTGTTTGTAATTCAACTTCTGCCATTCTGTTTTTACTTTTGGGTTATTTTACAAACACAAACAACAACCCCCAGACTGTTTGGTTTCTTTGAATTTTTTAGTTTTCCCTCTAATTAAATAACTATCCCTTGATAGTTTCCTAAAATGAAATTCTCTTTGGCACATGCCACATCTCATCATTTCTTGAGAAAAGAGGTACAGCAGAGCCAAGATGACTGGCCTTGTGGAAGCCAATTTTGCCTTATTGCTTGCTTTATAATATTAATCCCAATGAAGTCAGGGATGAATGAAATCAACTGGTTATTCCAAAAAGTGCATTTAACCTTGTAATTGTATTCATTCTTATTGCTCAGTCACAGTTTTTTTCAGTATCTGCTTTAAGCCTAAAATAGTGCTAGGCTGTCAGCTTGAAACAATGAATGAGAAAGGCTCCCTGTTTTGAGGAGTATAAATTCAAGCAGTTTGTTATCTGAGATACTCTGCCTGATTTGCGGTTGGAGGTACCCAAGGAAAGGGAAAAGTGTGAATGAAGCCCTGAAAATGCAAGCAGAGGGGGCATGGACCCTAGAATTCTCACCGTGAAAGAAGGACACCAAGAGCAAGTGATGTAGGGAAAAGTCATCCTCTGAATTTCTTTCCTGCTACCACCGTTCTTACCTCCTCTGATCTTCCTGAGTTGTTATCCTCTGTCCTCGGCCTGGTCTGTGGGGGCACCTCCACAGGGTAAGTGTGCTCACGATGGAGCGGACCACCACCTGAGATGGTCCACGCCCTCTCTAGTTCCTGGTAGAGGCAGGAGTAATGTTTGAGATAAACAAAAACCAGGGCAGCCAGTAGCCTACACACCTTTGTGAATTAGAAAAAAGACAACCTCCCCTCAGGATACTTTAGTTCCATTGGTCAAAAAATTCTAATACATTGCCTTAATTGGAATCAAACTCTTTACTACCATTTTCTGCCATGAGGAATACACATGTCTATAAGGTCTTGAGATTGTTCAGTGTATAGCTGTCACTACTGTGCAAGGAGTCCATTGCCAAAGGTGCCCTTACTAGATTGCGTTCTGAACTATGCCAGACCTTGAAGGCCCATCTTTTGGTGCTGTCTCTAGTATACAGTTTGAGACCCTTGGTATATAACCCTTATTGAAAAAAAATCTATGGTCAGTGGCATGCAATCTATAAACCCATTATAAATTTGTAGAACTTGATGAAATACTTTCTAAGAAAGAAAGGGTCTAGCTAGATGAGGTCAGAATTTCAAGCATCCTTGTGTTTGGTTCCATCAGGGTCCTGAGTGCTTGCCTACCCAGGGCCTTCTCTGCACACTTTTTTTTTTTTTAAGATATTTTATTTATTTCAGAGAGAGTTCATGAGCGGAGGGAAGGGTATAGGGTGAACAGACTCCCCACTGAGCAGGGAGCCCAACACAGAACCTAATCCTGGGACCCTGAGATCATGACCTTAGCCAAAGGTAGACATCTAAGTGACTGAGACACCCAGATGCCCCTCTGCACACATTTTTAAAGCACTTAACTGGTTGTCCTCTTCTCTGAGCTCTCAGACCATGTTGTCTCTACACTGTGGCCATACTTAGGACCCTGTAATATCATTGTAGGCTGTCCATTCCAACACCAGCCTGGAGCAGATGCCAATTACAAATGAATGAATGAATGAAAAATCCATTCTATAAATTAGTGCTACATCAAAGATATATCTAATAAATGTGTCCATGATTCATTAGATATTATCTACAAATTCATTAGGCCAGAAAGAGCTGAGCACTTGCGTTTTCAAGACATAAACAATGGGCTATAATATAACATTAAAGAATATGAAGTGGGTTTGTTTGGTTTTTTTTGAGAGGAGAGCAGATAAGGAAGTTCTGCATACATTTTTTTGTGCCCCTGGGAAATACGTTTTCTCATTGTCTAAATTGCACTAGACTATGATTCTTTTCTCAGCCAAGTGAGGATAGGAAGGAACATGCAGCACACCTGATGATAAACTCTCCTGATAACTGGTTAATGACCACAGAGTATCCCCTTGATTGGTAAAGAATATACTGATTAAAAATGATCCAGTATTTCGATATGTAAACATCTTTGTCCCTGTTTCCCATGTATCTTAAACCTGCCAACATGAATTCCAGTGAAATCAGAATATTCTTTAAAGTCCAAATTAGTTGTCAGGGAAAAACAGAGGATAGATTGGTGGTACAGATAGACTGTGTTTCCATAAAGAAAGAGAACAAAGTATGCAGTCAGTCTGAGCGCCCACCAAAAAGTGGCTGCTGCAGAAACAGACTGCATATTCATTGCTACAGCCGGGGTTGCCTACAGGGCAATGATTATCTTTGGCTTGTCTGTTAACGGTGGTGAACCTCAGTGTATGAGCAATAGAATCAGAACAACCTAGGTTGTTTTAAAACATTAGTACCCTCAAAATTTGTATTTATGCAAGTGTCAGTGCTAATTTGTCAGAGAAAATAGTGCACATGTTTGTATTCATAGGAACATGGACATCTTTTTCTAGTACCAGATTCATTGTAGGCAAAGTGGAGTTTCTCTGATGGGCTGAGGAAGACCTTCATCAGCTTCCAGGAGCTCAGAGAACTCCTGTGGCCCACCATTTTCTGTGTGGGCTTCGTAAAAACATCATCCTTTTCTTGCCGGGAACGTGCACTCAAAAGTCATTCTCTTCCATTAACTTCAGATGTTTGGGCGGTAAATTGAAATACATTAGCAGTTTCCAAAATCAGTAGAAGAAGAAATAATCTGTTGGACTATTGGCATTCTCATGATAAGTCAGACCACAATACTTGCAGGATTTTTAGAGTTAGCTGGGTCATAGAGCATGATGGCTATGAGCATGGGTTCTCAAGTACTTTGAGTTTGAATTCTGGTCACCATTCACTGGCTGTGTTCCTTTGGAGGAAGATATTTATAACCTCTCTGTTCTTCAGCTTTCTTATTTGCAAAATGGGAATAATAATAGCACTTATAGGTGAGTTCTTGTGAGATTTAAGTGGATTACATATGTAAAAACACTTAGAATAATGAATAGCAGTTAGAAAGTGCTTGAAAATATAGGCTGTCACCAATGGTGTTCAATAAATTTTAGCAGAAGTCCTTAAGCACATGCTATATGCAGAAGTTATGTAAGAAACCTTGGAAAACACAAAAATAAGAAAGACTTAAAACTCTTGGTTTCCGGTTCAGCATTTAAGGAGCTTAGAAGTTACCACTTGATCTGAATAACAAGTTAAAAGTTAAACTGAAAAGTCGACAACTCTTCCTAGATCTGTAAGAGAAGTGAGGCCAGAGGGCAAACACCTTCTCCACAAATGGGAAAGAGGCGAGCAAATACAGAGAACCACAACTTATCTGAGCAGAAACATCCATAGTAACCAGTGCCAGGGTAGAAAAACCCAAACTGTAAGTTTTTACAACAGGAAAATGAACAATCCAATTAAAAAATGGTCAAAGACCTTAACACACCCAAGTCTTAAGACCTTAACCCCTCACTCAAGAAGATATATGGATGGCATCCAAGCCTCTGCAGAGTTGTTCAACATCACATCTTCAGAGAATTGCAAATGTAAACCACGAGATGCCATTATACACCCATGAGAATGGCCAAAATCCAGAATGCTGACAACACCAAGTGCTAAGAGGATATAGAGCAAAGGGAACTCTCATTCATTGCTGGTAGGAATGCAAAATAGTATAGCCACTTGGAAAGACAATTTGGCAGTTTGTTGTTTGCTTGTTGTTGTTGTTTATACAACCAAACAACTTTAACCAGATAATCCAGTCGTCATACGCCTTGGTATTTACCCAAATGAATTAAAAATTCATGTCCACACAAAATCCTTCACGCAGGGGTTTGTAGCAGCCCTATTCATAATTGCCAAAACTTGGAAGCAACAAGATGTCCTTTGGTAGCTGAGTGGATAAGCTGTAGCATAGACAATGGACAATATTACTCAATGCTATAAAGAATGAGCTAGCAAGCTGTGCAAAGACATGGAGGAAACAAGTGAAAGAAGTCAGTATGAAAGAACTACACACTATACGTTTCCCATTCTATGAGATTCTGGGAAAGACAAAACTATGGAGACAGTCAAAGGTTCAGTTGTTGCCAGGGCTTAGTGAAGAGGGTGAGGTGAATAGGGAAGGCATAGAAGATCTTTAGGGCAGCGAAACTATTCTGTATGACATTATAATGTGGATCTGTGTCATTATGCATTTGTCAAAATCCATAGTCTGTACACCATCACGAGTGAGCCCTGACGTAAACTAGGGACGTTGAGTAATAACCATGTATTAGTGTAGGATCCCATGTTGTAACAAATGTACCACTGTGGTGGGGAAAGGTGGGGGGGGGGCAGTTTGTGCATGTGTGGGGTCAGGGGACAGAATGTAATGGTCTCGTTTTCTGCTCAACTTTGCTGTGTGGCTAAGCTGCCCTAAAAAGTAAAGTTCAAGAATTAAAAAACAAAAGACTTCATTGTCTGCCTAGTGAAAGAGATAGGTACCAGTATAGTTGATAAAAGGTAGACTCAGTTTCTACTTCCGGCACAGTGATAGAGACTGGAAGGCCCCTTCACTGAAACAGAACGAAATTCAGATGAAATTGCAACAAATACAGTTGCCACACTTTTGACAAAAGAAGATCTCAAAGTGAGAGAAAGAAAGCAAAACAAAGAGATACAAAGACAGGGAACTGAGTTCTGCAGAGCAGTAACAGTAGCACAGGGTGGCGGTAAAGACCAATGTCCTCAGCTCTGTAATTAGTGACGGGGCCTTGGGACCAAGGAAGGTGAGTTTGCTGAGCTGAGAGCCTGGTGCCAAGCCTGGGACACATGGAGGGGCTAATTGGTCCCATGGTGGTAGTGAACTCTGGTGACCAACAGAACCAAATACA